GGACACACTAACCCAGAGTCCAACCTTGACCCCTTGAAGACCTGCAGACTTCAACAGCGTGGCTGGCTGGGGAATTCTGGGAGTTGAAGTCCGCAGGTCTTCAAGCGGCCCACGTTGGACATGCCTGGGCTGGCTGTTTGCCGCCACCTAGTGGCTTGGCCCAGATTTACATACTCGGCTTTTTGCAGCCATTAGGCCAGTGGTTCTCAACCTTTTTAATGCCGCGACCCCCAACCAGTCGTAAGTCGAGGACTACTCAACCAGTCGTAAGTCGAGGACGACTCAGCGGGTGCAGCACCGTTTGCAGAAGGGGACTTTTGGCGGGCTCAGCAGGGCAGAGACAGCCTGGACGATTCCTATTGGCTTTTGAAAGCCAATAGAATTAGACTCTATTCAAGAGAGTCTATTCTATTGGCTTTCGAAAGCCAATAGAATAAAAGGGAGTAGCACAGCTAAGGAAAAGGGGGGAAAAAATGGCGGACTGTGTTGTTTGGCGACCCCCGTGAAATGGTCCTTCGACCCCAAATGGGGTCCCGACCCACAGGTGGAGAACCACTGCATCAGGCAGAAATGAAAGACGACCCCCTCCTTCCAGCCCCCCCACCTTCCTGAGCGCCCACTCACTGTTGAAGTGCAGTAAGGCTTTGGGGGTCACCGGGGTGGACGTGAGGACCAGCATCTCCAGGCCTTTCAAGCCTTCCCGACACACTTCGGCCGCCACCTCCTGGTTGACCTCCGTCACGTGGTCCAGCTCCAGCACCTGAAGACGCATGCAGTTCCGGGCTGATAGGAGAGAAAAACCATCCGAGAGTCAGGCCGGCCACAGTCCTTGCACACCGGGGGGGGGGGTCAAGAGGCCACGGTCCTTGCACACCAGGGGGGTCAAGAGGCCACGGTCCTCCTTGCACACCAGGGGGTCAAGAGGCCACGGTCCTTGCACACCAGGGGGGGTTCAAGAGGCCATGGTCCTTGCACACCAGGGGGTCAAGAGGCCACAGTTCTTGCACACTACAACGGTCAAGAGGCCACGGTTCTTGCACACCAGGGCGGTCAACAGGCCACGGTCCTTGCACACCAGGAGGGCCAAGAGGCCATGGTCCTTGCACACCAGGGGGGTCAACAGGCCACTGTCCTTGCACACCAGGGCGGTCAACAGGCCACAGTTCTTGCACACCACGATGGTCAAGAGGCCACTGCCCTTGCACACCAGGGGGGTCAAGAGGCCACAGTCCTTGCACACCAGGGGGGGTCAAGAGGCCACAGTCCTTGCACACCAGGAGGGTCAAGAGGCCACGGTCCTTATACACCAGGTTGGTCAACAGGCCACACTTCTTGCAAACCAGGGTAGTCACGATGCTATATTTAAGATGGGTGGACTTCGACTCCCAGAATTCCCCAGCCAGCATTGCTGGCTGGGGAATTCTGGGAGTTGAAGTCCACAAGTCTTAAAATGGCCGAGTTTGGACATCCCTGCCTTAAACCACGTTCAGTCTGAAGACGTGGGAAAAGCACCTTCCGTATCTCTTTTCCTTCCTTCTTCCTGGGCCCGAAAAAGTCCCAAACCTGGACTCACCTAAGGAAGCCAGTCCCTGCAGGCCGCAGCCGGCTCCTCCGACACCCAGCGCTCTCAAGTGTGGCCAGCAACGCCCAATCATCTGCAGGCAGCGGTTGCTAAACCTGGTGGGTTGCTGGCTGGAAAACATGTTTGAAAGGAGAGAGACAAGAAGCTAATCGTGAACATCACGTCATGGAGATACACATTAGGACAGGGGTAGGCAACTTGGCTCTTTTATGACTCATGGACTTCAACTCCCAGAATTCCTGAGCCAGCCATGCTGAGGGGAAAGGGGGAGGTTTCCAAGCTGAGCCATGCTGGCTCAGGAATTCTGGGAGTTGAAGTCCATGAGTCAGAAAGTGGCCTAGGCCTAGACCAGGGTTAGGCAAGCTTGGCTCTTTTATGACTAGTGGACTTCAACTCCCAGAATTCCCCAGCCAGCCATGCTGAGGGGGAAAGGGAGAGGTTTCCAAGCTGAGCCATGCTGGCTCAGGAATTCTGGGAGTTGAAGTCCACCAGTCATAAAGCGGCCTAGGCCTAGACCAGGGTTAGGCAAGCTTGGCTCTTTTATGACTCGTGGACTTCAACTCCCAGAATTCCTGAGCCAGCCATGCTAAGGGGAAAGGGAGAGGTTTCCAAGCTGAGCCATGCTGGCTGAGGAATTCTGGGAGTTGAAGTCCACCAGTCATAAAGTGGCCTAGGCCTAGACCAGGGGTAGGCAACCTTGGCCCTTTTATGACTCGTGGACTTCAACTCCCAGAATTCCTGAGCCAGCATGGCTCAGTTTAGAAACCTCTCTCTTTCCCCTCAGCGTGGCTGGCTCAGGAATTCTGGGAGTTGAAGTCCATCAGTCATAAAAGAGCCAAGGTTCCCCACCCCTGCATTAGGAAGAGAACCTGGTCAACAGAGCTGGTTGGAGCATCTTCATAGCTTGAGCGCCAGAGAGCAGGGAGTGGTGTGGGAGGGGGTGTCAAAAAAGAGAAAGCAGATGGGAATGTCTGGGTTAGGGGGTGGTCCTCTTACCACGGATGAAGGGGTGCCACCTGAAGAGAGATGATATCTCTGCAACCTGCTCCCAAGGCCCAGATGACTTCGTGGCCCACAGGATCGGTGGCGCTCCTGGACCGGGAAAATAGAAGAAAGCAAAAGATTAATTCTTCTGGAAAACTGGCACGGATTAGGGAAAGAGAACCACAGATGGGTCTGGTAGAGGAGCTGCGTGTGGGAACAAGTGCTCCTATCTGTCTATTTTTTTTTCTAAAAAAGATATATCACAAAATGAGAGCAGAGCTGGAGAGAATTGATCTGCAACTTAATTTTGTGGGTCAGCCGTTGCCGGATCTGTGTATTCTCAGAGATAGGCTACGCTTGTTTCTTAGTAAGCCGGACTTACAAGGAGTTGGGAGACAGGGTGGAAACTCCTTAACTGCACAAAATATGGACAGACTTCACCACAGTTTCAACCGAGAAACGATGAGCGTCCTGGACTAAGCTAAATCCCCCAAAACGCTAGAGAATTCCTGGATGCCTGACACTCAGACGACTCAGCCATCAACAGGCATGTAGAGATAAACAATGTTTGCACACCGTTCAAAAGAGAACAGGAAAAAGCTAAAAGGGAAACAAAAAGATGACACCACTGTCTTGACAGCAGTCAACACCCAGACTAGATCAACAACCTAGCCATTAACAACCCCCCAATAAAGGAGCTTCCAACCCAGACCAACAACCCAGCAGTAAACAACAGCCTAACTGAAGTATCACCAAGAATTCTCCCACCAATATTGACAACAGGCAAGCCACTGGATTATAAACAGAGAGCACGCCCCAGTCTTTCTAGCACTGATGATGTTACCTAGTTGGGTAATGAAACATCTGCAAGGAAACAACCGAGCTCAGAAAGTATCCTGAACCTCACAGTCCTCCTCTTCCTCCTCCTCCTCCTCTTCGCAAACCTTACTCCTTTCTAGCATTGATATGTTACTTAGTAGAGTAATGAAACATCTGCAACAAAACTACCAAGCTCAGAGAGCACAAAGGACCCCACAGTCTTCTTCTTCTTCTTCTTCTTCTTCTTCTTCTTCTTCTTCTTCTTCTTCTTCTTCTTCTTCTTCTTCTTCTTCTTCTTCTTCTTCTTCTTCTTCTTCGTCTTCTTCTTCTTCTTCTTCTTCTTCTTCTTCTTCTTCTTCTTCTTCTTCTTCTTCTTCTTCTTCTTCTTCTTCCTCCTCCTCCTCCTCTTCCTCTTCTTGTTCTTCTTGTTGTTGTTGTTCTTCTTCTTCATCATCTTCTTCTTCTTCCTCCTCCTCCTCCTCCTCTTTGCAAACCTTTCTAGCATTGATAATGTTACTTAGTAGGGTAATGAAACATCTGCAACAAAACTACCAACTCAGCACAAAGGACCCCATAGTCTTCTTCTTCTTCCTCTTCCTCTTCCTCTTCTTCTTCCTCTTCCTCCTCCTCTTCTTCTTCTTCTTCTCTTCCTCCTCCTCCTCCTCCTTCTTCTTCTTCTTCCTCCTCCTTCTTCTTCTTCCTCCTCTTCCTCTTCCTCCTCCTCCTCTTCCTCCTTCTTCTTCTTCTTGTTCTTCCTCCTCTTCCTCCTCCTCCTTCTTCTTCTTGTTCTTCCTCCTCTTCCTCTTCCTCTTCCTCTTCCTCCTCTTCCTCCTTCTTCTTCTTCTTGTTCTTCCTCCTCTTCCTCCTCCTCCTTCTTCTTCTTGTTCTTCCTCCTCTTCCTCTTCCTCTTCCTCTTCCTCCTCCTCTTCTTCTTCTTCTTCTTGTTCTTCTTCTTCTTCTTCTTCCTCCTCCTCCTCCTCTTTGCAAACCTTTCTAGCATTGATAATGTTACTTAGTAGGGTAATGAAACATCTGCAACAAAACTACCAAGCTCAGAGAGCACAAAGGACCCCACAGTCCTCCTCCTCCTCCTCCTCCTCCTCCTCCTCCTCCACACTGCAAAACCCCCTCCCTTCTAGCACTGATGATGATACCTAGCTGGGTAATGCAACATCTGCAAGAAAATAACCGAGCTCAGAGAGCACCCAGGACCCCATTTCCACTTGACCACCATCCCATGATGGTGCTCTCCATGATAGATTTGGGGGTACCCAAATCAGTACTCCCCCCCCATCCAATAGGAAGTGCCTTGCATATTCCTGCATGATGAAAGAGGCCACATAGATGACAACAAGCCTAAATGAAAACTGAATTAAAACTTTCTCAAAGGGGGGATTTTAGTGGAAAGAGGTTATGAGATTGGGAGGCCTCGTGCATCTTCGCTCCCTTTCTCTCCCTAACACGGTAAGCATTATAAATCCCCCCACACCCCCATGAGCCTGAGAGGTGGCAAATCAACCAATTAATAAAAATAACCTTTATAAAACTAGCTTGGCCTTTCGCATGACCCAGTTCCACGCTAGAGAAGAGCCTAAAAATAAACAAGCATGAATTATCTGGAAAAATTCCTCTGCCTCTCTCGGAGCTGCCTGCCAAGGCTCCGGGATTGTTTGGTGTGGCCTTAATTAAAGGGATGAGTCATTCTGGCAGATTAGAAGGCTGCCAAACTGTGCAGGTAACACCAGACTGTCCAGAGTGAAAAAAGAAGGAGGAAAGGGAGGGAGGGGGATTTGCACCTGGAAGGACCACTGATCTAATGCAAGGCCTTGCTCCAAGCCAGACCGTTGGCTGAGGAATTCTGGGAGTTGAAGTCCACTCCTCTTAAAGTCTATATCAGGGGGTCTTCAAACTTGGCCCTTTTATGGCTTGCGGACTTCAACTCCCAGAATTCCTCAGCCAGCCTCCATTTTGTTTGTTAGATTTAAGACACGAGTCTTCAAACATGGCCACTCCCCTTAAAGTTTATATCAGGGGTCTTCAAACGTGGCCCTTTGATGGCTTGTGGACTTCAAATCCCAGAATTCCTCAGCCAGGCACGCTGGCTAAGGAATTCTGGGAGTTGAAGTCCACTCCCCTTAAAGTCTGTATCAGGGGTCTTCAAACTTGGCGTCTTTATGGCTTGTGAACTTCAACTCCCAGAATTCCTCAGCCAGCCTCCATTTTGTTTGTTAGATTTAAGACACGAGTCTTCAAACATGGCCCTTTGATGGTTTGTGGACTTCAACTCCCAGAATTCCTCAGCCAGTGTGCCTGGCTGAGGAATTCTGGGAGTTGAAGTCCACTCCTCTTAAAGTCTATATCAGGGGTCTTTAAACGTGGCCCTTTGATGGCTTGTGGACTTCAACTCCCAGAATTCTTCAGCCAGCCTCCATTTTGTTTGTTAGATTTAAGACACAAGTCTTCAAACTTGGCCCTTTGATGGCTTGTGGACTTCAACTCCCAGAATTCCTCAGCCGGGCATGCGACCAGGAGAGGGCTAGAGTGTCTCTAGAGCAGGTTGCCCACGTGATGCCTTCTTAGATACCAACCATGAATTAATCTCCAGGCTGGCTGAGTAAGGATGGCAGGAACCGAGATGCCAACCCAGCAGATGTCTCGTGTGTGTGTGTGTGTGTGTGTGTGTGTGTGTGTGTGTGTGTGTGTGTTTTGTCTGTTTGCTTTTGCACAATCTGCTCTGGAAAATTCTGCAGTGGAGAAATTGTTCCAGCCTCTCCTCCCTTCTGCCAGCCCTGTGTCCCCGGCACCCTCTATTCTTAGAAGCAGTGTCATGTCTGAATGCCACCTCGAGCCCTTGACAAGCGCCTTGTTGTCTCTGCCGCGAATTTCCTTCGGCAGAAACACAGCGGCACAGCAAATGACTCAGAGGCGTTGCAAGCAGGCAACGAAGCAATTAAAATAATCTCCCACGCCTGCATCACGAAAAGCATGTCCTGAATCGGATCGAACCTCAATATTGGGTTGCGACTACAGTACAGATAGTCCTCGATTTACGACCGTAATTCAGCGCGAAGTTGACACTGCGACCGGCGTAAATATGTCCCTTGCCATGTGTCTGAATTTTGATGGTGTGATTGTGGAGACAGTCGTAGGTGTGAGGATTGCTCATAAAAATAGGCAGAAACTTCAGCAGCACTGTTATGGCTGCCATCTTAATTTTTTTTCACTGTGTCCTATAGGTTCCTGCCAAATAATAATAATAATAATAATAATAATAATAATAATAATAATAATAATAAACAACATAGAAAATGATAAAATTAAACTGCTCTGGGACTTCAGAATTCAAACAGACAAGCACCTGCAACATAACACCCCAGACTTAACAATTGTCGATAAGAAAGACAAAAAAGTCTGGATAGTGGACGTGGCAGTGCCTGGAGATAGCAGAATAGAAGAGAAAGAACTGGAGAAGATCACAAAATACAAAGACATACAAATAGAAATAGAAAGACTGTGGCAAAAGCAAGCAAGGGTAGTACCAATAGTAATAGGCTCCTTGGGTGCAATCCCAAAACAACTGGAGCACCAATTGAACACCATTGGCATTGACAAATTCGCCATTAGTCAATTGCAAAAGGCGGCCTTATTAGGAACTGCTTCCATCCTGCGACGATATCTGTAATACCATCAAACATCCACATTTGCCTATCCCAGGTCCTGGGTAAGGACTCGATAGGTAGACAAAATGCCAAATCCAGTCTGAACATCTGGCTGACTGTGCGATGATCAATCATCAATAATAATAGTAGTAGTAGTAGTAGTAGTAGTAGTAGTAGTAGTAGTAGTAGTAGTATATCAAGAGAGTGAAGAAGATCTTAAAGTCTAAACTCAGTGGAGGAAATACCATGAAGGCAATCAACACCTGGGCAATTCCAGTCATTAGATACACAGCTGGAATAGTGGACTGGACTCAAGCAGAACTAAAAGCAATGGATAGGAAGACTAGAAAAATAATGACAATGAATCACACCCTTCATCCACGCAGTGACATTGACAGGCTTTATCTACCAAGGCAAATAGGTAGGCGTGGAATGCTGCAAGTACATCAGATGGTTGAAGAAGAAAAAAAAAAAGGCTTTGGAAGAATATCTGAAGGACAGTGATGAAGATGCACTGAAATTAGTATATCAGGAAGGCTTACTGACTACTAGAGAGACCAAACTGGCCTATTTCCCTACCCATATAAAATCTAATAAAATATATTTAAAAAAAAAAAAAGAAAGACCAAATGAAGAACAGAATAGAGGCATGGGAAGGCAAAGCACTACATGGCCAGCACATTAAAAATATATATATAGCTGGGAAAACAGATAATAACAAGACCTGGCAATGGCTGAGCCCTTTTCTTTTTCCAAAAATGCAAAACTGTCCAGGATTGGGGGGGTTGTGGTCCAGAGCAGACTCTAAAATGCTGATTTATTTATTTTTTTTGCAAAATTCAGCCATCAGCCCCATAAAGGACTCCCCAAAACAGACAAATCTCAAAAATATGAAAAAATACAGGCCGGTCCTTGACTTATAACAGTTCCTTTAGTGTCGTTACAACAGCAATGAAGAAGAAAAAAAAGACTTAGGACCATTTTTCACGCTTACGACCGTCGCAGCATCTCCAAGGTCACGTGATCCAAATCCAGATGTTTGACAACTGATTCATATTGGTGACGGTTGCAGTGTCCCGGGGTCATGTGATCCCTTTTTGCAACCTTCTGAACAGCTGCGGTGGGGAAGGCAGGCTTACTCAACCCCCGTGTTACTCATTTAACCGCTGTGGCAATAAGGGCTGTAAAGTGGGGGCAAAAGTCCCTTCACAAATGTCTTGCTTAGCAGCAGAAATTTTGGTCTCTTTCGGGTCATAAGCCGAGGACTTTACCTGCAGACATCACACTGGAGGGCAACGTTTTCAAGAAGAGATTGGATAATTGCCATTTGTCTGAAATGGCATAGGGTTTCCTGCCTGAGTAGGGGGTTGGACTAGATGACCTCCACGCTCCCTTCCCACTCTGTTATTCTTCCTTCCTCCCTCCCTCCCTCCCTCCCTCCCATCCATCCTAATTCCAGGCCTTCCTTCCTTCCTTCCTTCCTTCCTTCCTTCCTTCCTTCCTTCCTCCCTCCCTCCCTCCCTCCCTCCCTTCCATCCATCCTAATTCCAGGCCTTCCTTCCTTCCTTCCTTCCTTCCTTCCTCCCTCCCTCCCTTCTCCAACACTGGAAGTTTTTAAGAAGAGACCGGACAGCCATTTGTCTGAAATGGCATAGGGTTTCCTGCCTGAGCAGGGGGTTGGACTAGATGACCTCCAGGCTCCCTTCCCACTCTGTTATCCTTTGATTCTATATTTTGAGAGCTGCTCCCCCTCCCTTTCCCCCCCACCCCTTCCTAAACCGTCTGAGGGATTGAATCCAGCTGGGCTAATTACAAGATGTCTCCCTCCAAAGCTGACAGCACAACAGCCTCGTCGCAACCCACGGGAGCGCTCGGCTCCTTGGCAATGCCAACCGTGCCAGGAACGAAGATCTGCTATGGGAGCCCTGGGGTGTGTGTGTGTGCCGCCACCCCAATCTTTTGTTCTCTTGCTGCTTCTCCAGCCCCGACGGAGAGAGGAAAGGCTGTGATTATTTCACACAGCCTGTCTCTTCTCCGCACGGTGCCAAGGAAGTGTCTGGGTGGCATGGCTGCCAACTCCGCCATTGTTCTCCCTGGGAGTATTGCTTCAAATCTGCGGCACTGGAAGCAGAACTGGCGGGGTGGGTGCTCCTCCTGTCCCCAAAGGGGAGGATGTAATACAGGTAGTCCTCGCCTTACGACTGCCATGGAGCCCGACCTTTCTGTCGCTAAGCCAGGCAGCGGTTAAGGGAGCTTTGCCCCCATTTTACGATCTCCCTTGCCCCGTTCGTTAAGTGAATCACTGCAGCGTTAAGCTGTGAACATGATCGTTAAGCGAATCTGGCTTTTCCCCTCGACTTTGCTCGTCAAAAGGGGATCACCTGACCTCGGGACACGGCAACCGTCATAAGTAGGAGTCGGTTGCCAAGCGTCCGAATTTGGATCGCGTGACCCTGGGGGGGGGGATGCTCTAATGCAGGGCTTTTCAATCTTTTCACCCATTGTAATACTTTTAGGATAGGGCAACATCCGAGGACCACCAGTCGCCTAGCAAGGGGTCAAAAACCTGATGACCCAAAAAAAAAAAAAAAAGTGATACAGGTAGTCCTCAACTTACAACAGTTCAGTTAGTGACTGTTTGAAGTTACAATGGCACTGAAAAAAGGGCCCCCCAAGCCACAGCCGAGCAAGACACCTGCCTGCCCGCCCGGCCGCGCTCTTCCTCCTGTCCGAGGTTTCCATTGTTGTGAGCATTTCTGTTGAGGATTGGCAGCGAGGGTGGGGTGGGAGATTTTTGGTTTTTATTCCCCCCGTCTGCTGGGTGGTTGCAGCAGGTTTTGGTCCCTTCACATGACCCTGGGACACTGTGACCGTCGTAAATATGAATCAGTGGCCAAGCATCTGAATGTAAATCACAAGACTCTGGAGAGGCTGCAACATTCCAGCTGATTGGCGCTTCTTCTGGGCGCAGCGGAAGCACCAGGATCAGCGCTGAGCTCCAGCTGGAGCCTGGCACTGATCCTGGCGCTTCCGCTGAGCCCTGACAGTCCCAAAGAAGTGCTGATCCTGGCGCTTCCGCTGAGCCCTGACAGCCCTGCAGCTCCAGCCGTTTCTCGCTCAGGCTTGTGCGGTGCTGCCACCGGTTCAGCTCATTCCCCTCCCCCACTACCCCTTTTCTAGGATGGTCGCGTACCACCTGCCAGGTGCCAATGTACCACAGGTGGTACCTGTACCACTAGTTGGAAAGCCCTGCTCTAGTGGTCGTAAGTGTGAAAAAGGCTCATAAGTCATGTCTTTTTTCCCCAGGGCTGTTGTAACTGCGAAGGGTCACCGAACGGATGGTTTAGTCGTTAAGCGAATCCCTGCGGTTGTTTAGTTAGTAGCACGGTTGTTAAGTGAATCTGCCTTTCCCGTTGACTTTGCTTGTCGTGAAAGATGATCATATGACCGTAGGACACGGCAACCGTCATAAATGCAGGCCAGTGGCCAGGCGTCCGAATTTTCATTGACCAGGGGGATGCTGCAACCGTTGTAAGCACGGACAACGGTCATAAATCCCTTTTTCCAGCGCCGTTGGAACGGTCACTAAAGGAATAGTTGTACATTGAGGACTACTTGTAGCTTGGGGGAACGTAAGGATTCTAGGCTTATTACTCCCTTGACTCCACCCCTGGTTCTGCCTTTCCTCCTACGGCATCTCCATTTTGCTAAGAAGACATTTTTGAGTACGATTTGGCCAATCTTGAGCTGAGGTTGGCCCGCCAAACGTGGTCAGTTGTTCTCCTTGGAATGAGAAACTCTGGTTTGGTTGGACGCCCCCAACAGCACCCGCTTACCGGTAGGTGACAGCTTGGAGAGCTCGGCAGTAGCAGCTGGCCAGCCAGAGGGAGCGGTCCGTCAAAATGTTGGGGCAGTGGGAAACCCGTAGGATCAAGAGGTTACTCCCGGAAGCTTTGAGTAAGGACTCCAGTCCTGCTTCGAGGCAGCCCCTAGCAAGACAAATCCCCCCCCAAAAGGAAGAGAAAATCGTAAATTCTTTACATTGCTTGTCGCTCTGCTAGTTTTCTGTAAAAGATGGCTCGGCGGAGATGCTTATGGCCATAGTGGGCCGTTCTGCAAATTTAAACTCTTCAGCGAAACAAGGATTAAATCAACATGAAACTACGTTGATCGGCTGCAGGACAATAGGTGGATCTCCTTCCTTCCTTCCTTCCTTCCTTCCTTCCTTCCTTCCTTCCTTCCTTCCTTCCTTCCTTCCTTCCTTCCTTTCCTTCCTCCCATCCATCCATCCATCCATCCATCCATCTATGAACTCCAGACCTTCCTTCCTTTCATCTATCCATCCATCCAAACTTCATCCATTCATCCTAAATTCCAGGTCTTTCTTTCTTTCTTTCTTTCTTTCTTTCTTTCTTTCTTTCTTTCTTTCTTTCTTTCTTTCTTTCTTTCTCTTTCTTTCTTTCTTCCTTCCTTCCTTTCCTTCCTTCCTTCTTTCCTCCATCCATCCATCCACCTATCAATGCATCCTAAACTCCAGACCTTCCTTCCTTTCATCTATCCATCCATCCAAATTTCCAGGCCATCCATCCATCCTCAATTCCAGGTCTTTTTTCCTTCCTTCCTTCCTGCCTTCCTTCCTTCCTTCCTTCCTTCCTTCCTCCTTTCTTCCTCCTTCCTTCCTTTCTTCCTTCCTTTCTCTATCCATCCATCCTAAATTCCAGGTCTCCCTCCCTCCCTCCCTTCCTTGTATCCATCCATCCCTCTATCTCTTTCTCCTGCCTTCCTGTGTTATAGAATCCTAGGGCTGGAAGCGACCTTGCAGATCTTCTCTGCTGAAACAGGAGACCATCTATCATTTCAGACAAATGGCCGTCCACTCTCTTCTTAAAAGCCTCCAGTATTGGAGCACCCACAACTTCTGGTGGCAAGCTGTCCCACTGGTTAATTGTCCTCCCTGTCAGGAAATTTCTCCTGAGTTCTCGGTTGCTTCTCCCCTTGATCAGTTTCCATCCGTGGATTCTTGTCCTGCCTTCAGGGGCTTTGGGGAATAGGCTGACACCCCCCCTTTCTTTGGGGCAGCCCCCCCAGACATGGGAAGGCTACTCTCTTCCTCACCGTGTGCTTTTCATGTAATCCTCCTTCGTCTCTTTCTTCCCTCTTTGCCTGGGCTTGAGATTTTGGAGGGTGAGCGAGTGGGTCTGGGTGCACCATTGTGACAGCATGACCAGGAACTGAGCAACAAAACAAAACAAAACAGAGAAAATTGTCAGGGAATTACACAACTGGTGTCCCAACAGAGCCAGGGACACCGACACGACCTTGTAGTTTTATTTCCACAAAAATATATTTTACATTTGCAGGTAATCCTCGACGTATGACCAGAACTGAGCCCCAAATTTCTGTGGCTAAGCGAGACATTTGTTCGACGAGCTTTGCCCCATTTTACGGACTTTTCCAGCCAGGGGTGTGAAGTGAATCGCTGCAGTTATTAAGTTTGTAACGACGGTTGTGAAGTGAAATTGGCTTCCCCATTGACTGTGCTTGTCAAAAGGTCAACAGAAGGGGATCACGTGTCCCCAGGACGTTGCGACCGTCATAAATATGGGTCAGTTGCCCAATGTCTGAATTTTGATCACATGATCCCGGGGAGGCTGCAACGGTCGTAAGTGTGAAAACCGGTCATAAGTCACTTTTTTCAGGGCTGTTGTAAGTTCAAAGGGTCACTAAATGAACTGGTGTAAGTCGAGGACTATCTGTATATTTTACAGCAAGCAAGATAGTCCGGCCCATCGCTACATCCTGAGGTAAATTGTCAGGTAAATCGCAGAACAGCTTATAGAGCACACAGAATTTTATTTTATTTTTTTTAATTTTTTTTTTAATTTTAGACCAACAAAACAAAACACAACAAACATTACACACATACACACGTAATATATCCTTTTTTGTTAACAGCAGTTTGTAACCGTACTCTTCTCTTCTTTACATTTCCCCCCTCTTTCTTCTTTGAAATATTTGTCCTTATTGCCCCGTTGTTTCTTATTTACATTTTCCTTCTTTCATATTCTACTACTTACTAGGAATCCAACATTATTCACTGTAGTAACACTCATATTTTTTATAAGACTCGACCGGAATTCCATCTAAGCATGGTGATCATACAAATATTCTCATATTATTTAGTGCATATACTGTTTTTACTCTAATACTATTTCCAACATTAAAATTCACCCCTTTTCATCTAAGTATATTTATTTAATTTTATTTTTCTTTGACATATATAATAATTCCTCCTTTCTTGTTTTATGCTAATATTGTGTATAATGTTTCTAAATTTTACTTTCTCTAGTAATTTTCTATAATCCTATTTTATGTAAACTTCCTAAAGATACATCACATCGACATCCAATTTCCTTGGATTGTTAAACGTCTAAACTCTTTTTCTTGATATAATTAATCCATTAATATTTATAGAAAAGAGCTTAATTACGTCTCCCATTTTTAACTTGATCTATTTTTTTGTTTTTATTTTGTTTTATACTTCTTGTCTCTATAAGTCTTCCTTTTGCTTCTCTTTCTTGTAACTTTTGTATTTCTCGCTCTTGATCAACTTCCTCTAATAGATCTTCATCAGCTCACTGCAAATTACTAAGGCAAGATCACAGCTGCCAAGGAAAGCATGGGCATCCACCAAGTTGTTTTTAAACGGGTAGCCATAGAAGTAGTCCTTGACTTACACCTGTTCCTTTAGTGACCGTTCGAAGTTACAAGAGCAATGAAAAAAAAAAAGATTTACAACATGATCAAAATTCAGCGGTTTGGCATATAAAGAGAGCCACGTGAGACTTACAACCAACATGTCTCTTGGCAAGCAAAACAGTTGTTAAGTGAGTTTTGCCCCCTTTAACGACCTTTCACGCCCCGGTCGTTAAGTGAGTCACTGCAGTTGCTGAGTTGGTAACTCAGTTTTTTTTTAAATGGACCTGGCTTCCCCATTGATTTTGTTCGTCAGGAGGTCGCCAAAAGGGATCAGATGACCCGGGGACATTGCAACCGTCCTAAGTACATGCCAGTTGCCAAGCGTCTGAATTTCGATCACATGACCACGGGGATGCGGTAACGGCCGTAAGGGCACAAAACGGTCACAAGTCACTTTTTCGGTGTCATCGTTACTTCGGTCACTAAACAAAGAGTTGAACGCCGACGAGGAACTCTAGTAAAAGAGAAGACCCCCCCCCAAGCCCATCAGCGGAAAGCTCCACGTTACCTTTGAGGAGACTCTGGCGTTTTCCAGCAACACCCTGGTCCACACGGCGGGATGTCGGGCCACAAATTTCCAGTCCTTGCAGACTTCCGCCGCCCTGAGCAGGGTCTTGGTGTCGAGGTACGTGAAAATGCAGAAAAGGGCGGCCCGCATTTTCAAGATCTCCGGGCTGATGACCTCGTTGGAACGGGAGTTGTGTCCCTTCTCGGACCGTCCCCCCTTTCCAGCATCGGACCTGGCTGGGTCGTAAAAAAATGATGGATTATACCTATATAACCGTGGGCGGTTTACGAGCATCATCAAAACAGAGGTGCAATCTACTGCTCAACTATTTTTACTTGGTATTTTTGTTGACTTAAATGAAAAAGAAACTATCTTGATGTTGAATTTATTAACTGCAGCAAGGTTATTAGTAGGTTTATATTGGAAGAAAGATTCTTTGCCTACTTTAGAAGAATGGATATTTAAAGTATCTAGTTTTGCAGAAATGGTAAAAATTTCTGCTTATTTAAAGGATCATACACAAGAAAGATATATCATTGTATGGAGAAGATGGATAGATTATATTCAGAAAAAGTATGGAATTAAAAAGTTTCATTTATTTTATGAATGAATATTATAATAAATATTATAGAGAATTGTTTTATAGGTTATGGAGTTAAAGGTTAATTATGATATTTTTTTTTCTTTTCTTTTTTGTTTTCTTTTCTTTTTTATTATTATAAATTTTGTTATTATTAACCCTGTATTCTGCTCTGGGAAGTGAAGGGAGGGGGGTTGGGGGTGGGAGGGAGGGAGGGTAAGAGGGGGGGGGTAAATGTAGTATAGATAATGGTTGCTTATGAATTTATTTTATTTTAAAATTTTATTGTATCTTTATAATGTTTGAATGTTAAAAAATAAAAAAAAATTCAATAAAAAAAAAACAGAGGTGCAATCCTTGAGGGATGAAATGCAGGTAGTCCTCAAATTACAACCGTTCCTTTCGTGACGGTTCGACGTTACAACGGCCCTGTAAAAAAAGGACTTACGACCATTTTTCACACTTACAACCGTGGTAGCATCCCCGTGGTCACGGGATTTACATTCGGATGTTTGACAACTGACTCCCATTTATGACGGACGCAGTGTCCCGGGGGGGGTCACGTGATCCCCTTTTACGACTTTCTGACAGAGTCCCCGAAGAAAGCCAGATCCGCTTAACGGCCGTGTGACTAATTGAACCAGTGCAGGGATCCGCTTAACAAAGGTGGCAGGAAACATTGTGAAAGGGGGCAGAACTCATTTGACAAATGTCACCCTTAACGACGTGAACTGTGGTCGTAAGTTGAGGACTACCTGCATTAAATGGAAACAGAGGAAAACTGACAGCAGAAAAAGACTTTGTGGTCCGTGGAGTCGGATCTTTGTCTGAAATGGTACAGGGTCTCCTGCTTGAGCAGGGGGTTGGTCTAGAACAGTGGTTCTCAACCTTTCTAATGCCGCGACCCCATAATACAGTTCCCCATGTTGTGGTGACCCCCAACCACTTATACATCACCGGGTGCCAGGGGCGTGGCCAAAGAAAAGGGGGAAAAAATGGCGGACAGCCTTGTTTGGCGACCCCCATGAAATGGTCGCTCGACCCCAAATGGGGTCCCGACCCACAGGTTGAGAACCACTGGTCTAGAAGACCTCCAAGATCCCTTCCAAGACAAGAAACAATGGATGGAAACTATAAAGGAGAGAAGCAACCTGGACTTAAGGAGTAAAATTCTTAGCAGTGAGAACAATTAACCAGTGGAACAACTTGCCACCAGAAGTTGTGGGTGCTTCATCAGTGGAGGCTTTCAAGAAGAGAATGGACAGCCCTTTGTCCGAAATGGTATAGGGTTTCCTGCCTGAGCAGGGGGGTTGGACTAGATGACCTCCAGGGTCCCTTCCCACTCTGTGATTCTGTTAATAGCTAACGGATGACTGATCTGCTCGGTGGACAAAAACCTACCTGCCATCCTGGAATTGTGTCCTGGCCTGGAGAAATTCACCTGCTGGACTTCAGCGGGCACCCTGGGTTCCGGATCCCACATTTCGGCCTCCGACTCGGTGGTCCGGGATCCAATGTCGGAGATGTCGCCTTCCTCACCCTCGGTGCTGTTCCGGTACGGCCGGCGGTGCCAATTCTGAATCGCCTGTCTGCGCAAAGCCGAGCTGCGCACCCCAGCGGGCCGGTCAAAGCCGCTCTCCGAACCCCGAGACTGATAGGAGGGTCCGTTGCTGTTCTCACCCCCATGATAGGCTTCGGGGCTGTCGCTGTCGTAGCAGCCCGAACTCTGGGAGACAGCCTTGGCACAGCTGGAGGCTCTGAAAGCAGACAGGCAAAACATCTGGAACCTTATAAAACAGTGATTCTCAACCTTTCTAATGCCGTGACCCCATAATACAGTTCCCCATGTTATGGTGACCCCCAAGTGGGTGTGGCCACCAATAAGAGGGAGTAGGACAGCTAGGGAAAAAGGAAAAAAAATGGCGGACAGCATGGTTTGGTGACCCCCGTGAAATGGTCATTCGACCCCAAATGGGGTCCCGACCCACAGGTTGAGAACCCCTGTTATAAAGCAAGATATTTGTAACTCAGAGTTGAAATGAGGGGTCCTTGATGAGGTCTGGGAATCTGGACGGGTCAAAGGATCAATCAAGCACCACCTGGACAAGACCCTGGGAGAGAGGGCAACGTCGGGGTCTCTGGTCTCTGAGCTGTGCAGCTGCAGAGCTAGTATTTTTGGGTGGGGGGCTAACGAGAAGACCCTACCCAATGGTTGCTGGAATTGGGGATGTCTAGTTTAATGAAGGACGAGGGGGGACAGGATAGCAGTCTTCCAGTATCTCAGAGGCTGCCCCAAAGAAGAGGGAGTCAAGCTACACTCCAAAGCCCCTGAAGGCAGGACAAGAAGCAACGGATGGAAACTAATCAAGGAGAGAAGCAACCTGGAACTAAGGAGAAACTTCCTGGCAGTGAGGACAATTAGCCAGTGGAACAACCTGCCTCCAGAAGCGGTGAATGCTCCAACACTGGACGTTTTTAAGAAGAGACTGGACAGCAATTTGTCCGAAATGTTATAGGGTTTCCTGCCTGAGCAGGGGGTTGGACTAGATGACCTCCAAGGTCGCTTCCAACTTTAGTATTATTATTATTACTTAACAACAGGGAGCATTAGGATACAAGGCTGGCCAATTGTAAACAGAATGGGACAATTCATTGTGGCCAGCTTGCTGCGGGACAACTCAATGCAAGAGTCTAAAGCTTCCTCCTTCCATTATGTATTCAAGATGGACAGTGAATAATATTTATATGTTACTTATATGTAGGGGTGTAGGTCTATACATAGGTTGTATATAGTATGTTTTAAATGTGTTTTATGTAGGTGTTTCACTTTGAGAGGAAGCAACTAAATTCCATTTTTAATGTGTGCCATTTAGATAAAGGTTATCTAAATCTAAATAACTAAAGTATTATTATTAATATTATTATTAATAATAATGCTACTAATAATACTAAGAGAGGAAAGGGTGTGGTAGAGTCAGAAAGTCCTGCTTCAAAAATATATTTTTGAAATACATTTCTCAGTATTCAACTGGGGAGGGGACAATTTACGTAATTTGTTGTTGTTAGTTGCGAAGTTGTGTCTGACCCATCGTGACCCCATGGACAACATTCCTCCAGGCCTTCCTGTCCTCTACCATCTTCTGGAGTCCCTTTAAGCTCACACCTTCTGCTTCCATGACTCCATCCAGCCACCTCATTCTCTGTCGTCCCCTTCTTCTCTTGCCCTCCATCTTTCCCAGCATTAGGCCCTTCTCCAGGGAGTCCTTCCTTCTCATTAGGTGGCCAAAGTACTTGAGTTTCAACTTCAGGATCTGGCCTTCTAAAGAGCAGTCGGGGTTGATCTCCTCCAGGACTGACCGGTTGGATCGCCTTGCAGTCCAGGGGACTCACAGGAGTCTTCTCCAGCACCAGAGTTCAAAGGCCTCCATTCTTTGGCGCTCGGCCTTTCTTGGGGTCCAACTTTCACAGCCATACATTGCAACTGGGAAAACCATGGCCTGGACTATCCGCACTTTTGTTGGCAGGGTGACGTCTCTGCTTTTTAGTATGCTGAATTATGTATATGTTTGCCTTCCCCCCCCCCTTTTTATGCTCATGTTTTTTCCTCTTTGTGAAAGACTATATTTTAATTCAGAAGTTCACAACCTGCGGGCTAAGGCCCAGTACCGGGAAACGACCCATTCAGAACTGGGCTGTGCAAGTGGCGGGCGAGCACATACTCACAGCTGCCCTGCGCGAGTGGCAAGCATGTGTGCCCACCACTTGTGCAAATGAAGCTGCGCAGGTGAGTGCGCAGTGCAAAATCATCCCGCTTCCCCCCCCACACACACCACTCCACAAAGCCAGAAAGTTGTTTTAACGCTTTAAATTATTATTTTTAAAATTGAAATAGAAAAAAAACAGGGAAACGTGCAAAACGCACACTGAGAGTTGATTCCATACCCGGTGCTGGACGATGATCTCTGATTCGACACGGTGTAGGAGCTGTGTGGGGTTGCGTCAGCCATCGGATGCTTGTCTCTCTGAAAAGAGACACAACAGGGCGGTCACTTCATCCCACGTCAATCAAACCACTAGTTCCTGCTCCCCTTAAGGTACCACCACCCACGTATAGAATGATGATGGAGGCCAGGAATTCAAATTTGTATTACTTTAAAAGAGAAATCCTTATTTGAGGAAGCATGATTGTGGCAGTTCCACGATGTTCTTTTTAACACAGCTGTGCCTTTAATCAATCAATCAATCAATCAATCAATCAATCAGAATAGAGCTGGAAGGGACCTTGAAGGTCTTCTAGTCCAGCCCCCTGCTCAAGCAGGAGACCCTGGCCTATACCATTTCAGTCTCTTCTTAAAAACCTCCAACTTCTGATGGCAAGCTGTTCCACTGGTTAATTGTCCTCACTGTCAGGAAATTCCTCCTTAATTCCAGGTTGCTTCTCTCCTTGATTGCTTTCCATCCATTGTTTCTTGTCCTGCCTTCAGGCGCTTTGGAGAATAGGTTGACCCCTTCTTCTTTGGGGCAGCCTCTCTTTAAAGCCCTGTTGGTTTGGCCCTCCACAATAATTCTAATTTCTCATTTCTCCTTGGGAAATTCATAGCCCACCCCTGACATGATAGCACTATTCCAATACTTGAGGGGCTGACACAAAGACGAGCGGGTCAACCTATTTTCCAAAGCACCAGAAGGCAGGACAAGAAGCAACGGATGGAAACTAATCAAGGAGAGAAGCAACCTGGAAATAAGGAGAACAATTAACCAGTGGAACAGCTAGCCACCAGACGCTGTGACTGCTTCATCACTAGAGACTTTTAAGAAGAGATTGGACAATCACTTGTCCGGAATGATGTAGGGCAGGGGTCTTCAAACTTGGCCCTTTTATGACTTGTGGACTTCAACTCCCAGAATTCCTCAGTCAGCGTGCCTGGCTGAGGAATTCTGGGAGTTGAAGTCCACAAGTCATAAAAGGGCCAAGTTTGAAGACCCCTGAGATAGACTTTAAGAGGAGTGGATTTCAACTCCCAGAATTCCTCAGCCAGCATGCCTGGCTGAGGAATTCTGGCAGTTGAAGTCCACAAGTCATAAAAGTTTGAAGACCCCTGGTGTAGGGGTTGGACTAGAAGGCCTCCAAGGTCCCTTCTACTCTGAATGGGGATTTTTGAATCCATAAGATACCTGGAGAAAATCCTTCTAATTGGTTGTCTTAAAACGTCTGCAACTAACCTTCGGGAGCACCAAGGGCCCCACAGTTCAACACTGAGCCACAAATATTTTCTTCTAAAAAATATTTTACAAGACGAATAAAGCTTAGTTAACGTATCCAAGGTGTGCTTAAGAGGATGCACCAAGGAGAACGTTTGGCTTATATTTATATTGTGGCAAAGCTCTGTTTTTGCTCTAAAATATTTCTATCGTGGTAAACCTCTGTTTTTGCTCCTTAAAATCTACGTTTGGATCTGTGAAAACATCCTAAGATTCTTCTTTCTTCTTAAGCAATCATGGGAGATTAAACTGAACGTTGTTCTTCTCAGCCTCAGCTGTGATAAGGTAGATTGGCAGACTTTAACCTGTATCCTTGGAGACTGTTGTTATACAACAAGTTGCATGGTTACACATAGTTACTGAGTTATGCATCGCAGGGTCTAGAGTCGGTAGTTCAGCATCCATGTTGGAAGGAGACGGCTTTTCAGAACAAAATGGTTCCTACTGAAAGACAGGCCTCGCACATCTGGGACGTTGGGCCCTTTGTTAAGTCCTCTGCCGTGGTCAGATCTCATCCAAGTTAAAATGAGATGATCATCAGCCAGGATCTGTGCAGGGCAAGAGACCCAATTAGAAGGATTTTCTCCAGATATCTTATGGATTCAAAAATCCCCATTCAGAATAGAAGGGACCTTGGAGGCCTTCTAGTCCAACTCCCTGCTCAAGTAGGAGACCCTACACCAGGAGTTTTCAAACTTGGCTCTTTTATGACTGGTGGACTTCAACTCCCAGAATTCCTGAGCCAGCATGGAAATTTGGAAACCTCTCCCTTTCCCCTCAGCATGGCTGGCTTAGGAATTCTGGGAGTTGAAGTCCACGAGTCACAAAAGAGCCCAGGTTGCCTACCCCTGTCCTAGGCCTCTTTATGATTCATGGACTTCAACTCCCAGAATTCCTGAGCCAGCATGGGGGAACTATGGCCCCTTCATGACTCGTGGACTTCAACTCCCAGAATGGCTCAGTTTGGAAACCTCTCCCTTTTTCCTCAGCATGGCTGGCTCAGGAATTCTGGGAGTTGAAGTCCACAAAGGGGCCTAGGCCTAGACCTGGGGTAGGCAACCTTGGCTTTTATGACTCATGGACTTCAGCTCCCAGAATTCCTGAGTTGGCCATGCTGAGGGGAAGGGAGAGGTTTCCAAGCTGAGCCATGCTGGCTCAGGAATTCTGGGAGTTGAAGTCCACCAGTCATAAAGCGGCCTAGGCCAGAGACAAGACAACCTTGGCTCTTTTATGACGCCTGGACTTCAACTCCCAGAATTCCTGAGCCAGCCACGCTGAGGGGAAAGGGAGAGGTTTCCAAGCTGAGCCATGCTGGCTGAGGAATTCTGGGAATTGAAGTCCACGAGTCATAAGAGAGCCAAGATTGCCTGCCCCTGGTATAGGATCTCCTGCCTGAGCAGCGGGCTGGACTAGAAGACCTCCACGGTCTCTTCCGACTCTGAAATTCTCTTATTGACAAGCCTAATGCTCTTGAACGTGGAGCTTCTATCTACCCAGGCCGGCCCCACTTGCACTGACAGACGCCGCGCAGACCTGGCGTATGGACTTGCATGCTTTTACGGCTGGAGGTTGCCCTGAGGGAGCCGAGACATCCACTGAGTGGAAGGAGGAGGAACCAAGAGGAGATCCCGCCTTGACCACCGTCTCCATCACTTCGGGAAGACCCACCTCCCCCTTTAGGAGATTGGCTTCATTAGCTACGTCTCGGCTGGTGTTTTTGGATCCCGGCATACTACATCTTCCCAAACTACAATTCGGGGTGGTTCCACAACTGCTGCTGATGATCTGAAGCTGCTTCTCGGCTCGGTCCGCTCGGTCCAGCAGCTCCTCAATGAACTGCTGCAGACGGACTTTGGCGTTGGCTTCGCGGACGGCTGTCTCCTTCAGGAACTGGTCGATCTGGATGACCTCCCTGCGGGCAAGAAGCGGAGAATCAGAGGCCTGTTCGCACAGCTGGACTAGAAAGGTACCTCCTGCTACAGGTGGCTCCCGACTTACGAGCACCGTGGAGCCCCGAATTAATGTTGCTAAGCGAGACGTTTGTGAAGTGAGTCTTGCCCCGTTTTACAATCTTTCTCGCCCCGGTTGTTAAATGAATCACTGCCATTGCTACGTTCGTAACACAGTTGTTAAGTGAAACTGGCTTCCCCAAAACAGGGACTGGTGGATTGATTGCTTTTGTCCGAAATGGCATAAGGTTTCTTGCCTGAGCAGGGGGTTGGACTAGATGACCTCCAAGGTCCCTTCCAACTTTTTATTATTATTATTATTATGGATCATCGCACAGTCAGCCAGATGTTCAGACTGGATTTGGCATTTTCTCTACCTATCGAGTCGAGTCTTACCCAGGACCTGGGATAGGCAGATGTGGATGTTTGATGGTATTACAGATATCGTCGCAGGATGGAAGCAGTTCCTAGTAAGGCCGCCTTTTACAATTGACTAATAGTGAATTTGTCAATGCCAATGGTGTTCAAGTGGTGCTTCAGTTGTTTTGGGATTGCACCCAAGGAGCCTATTACTATTGGTACTACCCTTGATTGTATTATTATTATTATTATTATTACTACTACTACTATTATTACTATTACTATCATTACTATCATTATTATTATTATGGATCATCGCATATTATTATTATTACTATTATTACTATTATTATTATTTTCCCACTTACATCCATTGCAGCACCCCCCACGGTCACGTGATCCAAATTCAGACGCTTGGCAACCGGCTCCTATTTATGACGGTCGCAGTGTCCTGGGGTCACATGATCCTCTTCTCCGGCCCTCTGACCAGCAATTGGGCAAGCCGGATTCACTTAACGACCGGGTTACTAACCGAACAGACAACCATGCCTGAATGCCTGAACACTACATCTTTTTTTTTTTTTTTAAAAAAAAAACAACCTTGATTTTTTTTTTAAATGTAAAAATGTCTCCACAGATCTTCCCAACCTGAGCTCGGAAACTGTCAAGTGGAAAACCCACCACCCCAGAGGGATATTCCATAGAAATAAAGAACACCGCGATGTGATAAAATCCTGAGGAAAGGCCAGGGAGAAGCATTAAACCGCTGGCAAACAGCAGGACGATGCTGCGGATGTTAATTAAAAGCTTAGGTGAATAAACGGGTGGCAGCGCCAGGCCTAATTGGCGACAATAAACACAGTTGAAGTTGCAACCCCAGGGAGACGGTTAGTAGCAGGGAAACGGCTCCGGGGGCTGCACCAGAGGAGGTGAAGCAATGCCCTGGGCTTCAACAGAAGGGGCTTCAAGGAAGGAAGAAGGAGGAGGGGAGGGAGGGAGAGAGGGAGGGAGGAGGAGGAGGAAAAAAGGGAGGGAGGGAGAGGAAGAAGGGAGGAGGAAAGAAGAAGGAGGAGAAAGAGAGAGGGAGGAAGGAAGGAAGGAAGGAAGGAAGGAAGGAGGGAGGGAGGGAGGGAGGGGGGGGAGGAAGGAGGGAAGGAGGAGGAGGAAGGAGGGAAGGGAGAAAAGGAAGGAAGGAAAAGGAAGGAAGGGAGGAGGGAGGAAGGAAAGGAGGGAGGGAGAGAGGGAGGAAAGAAGGAAGGAAGGAGGGAGGGAGGAAAGGAGGGAAGGAGGAAGGAAAGAAGGAAGGAAGGAGGGAGGAAGGAAGGAAAGAAGGAAGGAGGGAGGGAGGAAGGAGGGAGGGAGGAAAGGAAGGAAAAAGGGAGGGAGGGTGGGAGGAAGGAAGGAGGGAGGGAGGAAAGAAGGAAGGAAAAAGGGAGGGAGGGAGGGAGGAAAAGAGAGAGGAAGGAAAAGAGGGAGGGAAGAAGGAGGGAGGGAGAGAGGAAGGAAGGAAGGAAGGAAGGAAAAGAGGGAGGAAGGAAGAGAGGGAGGGGAGGGAGAGGGAGAGAGGCAAAATTCACTCAACTGTCTTGATTAGCAAGAGAAATTGGGGGCTCAAACTGTGGCCTTAAGTCAAGGACTCCCTGTATGGGGAAGCCTATGTCGCTCTCCGGGAGGGTCCCTGGTGCTGAAGTGCTCGGCCGCTGACCTCTGTCCATCTCCTGCCCTCTCAGGAGTGCCCTGCCGTGCCTTTAATCCTGGACGTGTTGTGCAAATCCACAGATGGCCTTCAACTTACAGCCATTTGGGTGGAGACCATTCAAAGCGCTGAAAAAAGGGGACTCCTAGCCAGTCCTCACACTTAGCACTGTCACAGCATCCCCACGGTCACGTGTGCCAAATTTGCCTTGCGTGCTTTCCCAGGGGGCTTGTGGATCTGCTTCGTGCACTTAACAACTGCAGTCGTTTGCTTAACAACCCTGGCAAAACATCACAAAATTGGACCTACTTAACAGCTGCACAGCTTAGCAACAGAAATTCTCCTAATTGTAGTTGTCAAGGGCTTACAATGTCTATCAAGAAAAGTAAGATTTTTAACACTTAGGTAAGAAAAACCTACTGTACAGGTAAAGAATAGGTGAAACTTGACTTAACACCAGCAGCTGTGAGAGGGATCTCGGAGTCCTAGTGGACGATCCCTTAAATAGGAGCCAGCCGTGTGCTGCAGCTGCCAAAAAGGCCAACACAGGGCTAGGCTGCATTAACAGAGGGATAGAATCAAGATCATGTGAAGTGTTACTACCACTTTACAAGGCCTTGGTAAGGCCGCACTTGGAATACGGCATCCAGTTTTGGTCACCATGATGTTAAAAAGATGTTGAGACTCTAGAAAGAGTACAGAGAAGAGCAACAAAGATGATTAGGAGACTGGAAGCTAAAACATATGAGGAACGGTTGCTGGAATTGGGTATGTCTAGTTTAATGAAGAAAAGGACGAGGGGGGACATGATAGCACTGGTCCAGTATCTCAGGGGCTGCCCCAAAGAAGAGGGAGTCAACCTCTTCTCCAAAGCCCCTGAAGGCAGGACAAGAAGCAACGGATGGAAACTCATCAAGGAGAGAAGCAATCTAGAACTAAGGAGAAATTTCCTGATAGTGAGAACAATTAACCGGTGGAACAACCTGCCTCCAGAAGTTGTGGGTGCTCCATCACTGGAGGTTTTTAAGAAGAGACTGGACAGCCATCTGTCTGAAATGGTGTGGGGTCTCCTGCTTGAGCAGGGGGCTGGACTAGAAGACCCTCGATGTCCCTTCTGACCCCATTATTATATGTGCTGTGACTACCTGCAAGGCTGTCCAGGTGTGTGGATGTACAGTTAACAGAGTGACCAATTTCCAGTGGGAAGTAAAAGCGGAGTCATTCTGAATTTTTTCTAAGATGTCATGTGGCAACAACATCCCACTCAGGTATCATAAAGAGATTCAGAATCCAATTCTGGGTGACGATGAGGTTCGTATTAGCTTAATCGTAATTTGTTGTGTAGGCCTTAAGCTCACATTCAGGCATCCTCTGCGGGTTACAAGCCAGAACGGTGGGAATCCTGCCCCAGGCATAGCCATAAATCAAGTCAGACATACAGGTAAGTCCACAACTCACAACAGTTTGTCTCGTGGCCATTCAAAGCCACAACGCCTCTGAAAAAAGTGACGTAGGGCAGTTTTTCACACTTATGACCGCTGCATCAATCCCCGCAGCCACATGAACAAAATTCAGGCATTTGCCAACTGGCTCGCATTTACGACGGTTGTAGCGTCCCTGGGGTCACGTGATCCCTTTTGCGACCTTTTGACAAGCAAAGTCAATGGGGGAAGCCAGATTCACTTAACGACTGTGTAGCTAACTTATGAGTGATTCATTTAACAACTGTTACAAGAAATGTCGTAAAATGGGGCAAGGCTCATTTAACAAACGTCTCACTTAGCCAAATAAATTTTTGGGCTAAATTGTGGTCGTAAGCTGAGGACAACCTATCATTGGAACCTCGCCTCGTTCAAAACCACAAACCAAATTAGGCCCATTCTGTACGAAAGAACACATTTCATACAGAACGGCCTTCCTGCAAGCCATGAAGGTTATTCCTTGTTAAAATTTAATTCCGTTTAATAGTAGTAGTAAAGTTGGAAGGGACCTTGGAGGTCATCTAGTCCAACCCCCTGCTCGGGCAGGAAACCCTACACCATTTCGGACAAATGGCTGTCCAGTCTCTTCTTAAAAACTTCCAGTGTTGGAGCATTTACTGCTTCTGGAGGCAAGCTGTTCCACTGATTAATTGTTCTCACTGTCAGGAAGTTTCTCCTTAGTTCTAGTTTGCTTCTCTCCTTGATTAGTTTCCACCCGTTGCTTCTTGTCCTGCCTTCAGGTGCTTTGGAAAATAGCTTAATTCCCTCTTCTTTATGGCAGCCCCTGAGGTATTGGAATACTGCTATCATGTCCCCCCTTGTCCTTCTCTTCGTTAAACTAGACATACCCAATTCTAGCAACCGTTCCTTATATGTTTTAAAGTGTTAAATGTTCTCTCCCACCAACTGTTTATTCCTTCTCTGCCTGCATGTTCAAACTCAGGTCGACAGTTCAAGACCGGGAGATCAAGCTTCCCTTGGTTAGAAAAACAAAAAACTTGAATTCTTTGCTGTACTTTCAGATATGCATCAATTTAACTGGCATTGAGCAGACTAGGAAATAGCAAAGTTGCTGATGAAATTCCAGCAAACTCAATATTTAATGCGGTTGGAGTTTATATGTCACAGGGATGGATCGTCTCCAGGAGGTGGGGATATTCATGAAACGTTTAAATCAATCCTCCTGTGGCACTTATTTATTTGGGGCTAAGGAAGAACCCAGAAGCAGAATAACAGAGTTGGAAGGGACCTTAGGGGTCATCTAGTCCAACCCCCTGCTCAGGCAGGAAACCCTATACCCGTTTCATACAAATGGCTGTCCAGTCTCTTCTCAAAAGCCTCCAGTTTTGGAGCACCCACAACTTCTGGAGGCAGGCTGTTCCACTGGTTAATTGTCCTCACTGTTAGGAAGTTTCTCCTTAGTTCCAGGTTGCTTCTCTCTTTGATCAGTTTCCATCCGTTGCTTCTTGTCCTGCCTTCAGGTGCTTTGGAGAATAGGTGGACACCCCTCTTCTTTGGGGGAGCGTCTCAAATGCTGGAAGACTGCTATCCTGTCATCGTCCCCCCATTCTCCTTTTCACTAGACTAGACATACCCAATTCCTGCAATTTAGGATATGTTCCATTCGGGCTTGTAACCCCTAGATTATGGCTGAATGAGAAGACATAGTCTACTCAATAAATTGAAATTAAGCAGTCAGCTTCTGACATCATTCAGAACTGACCTCATATTTCGTGTCCAATTCTTGGAGATTGTCTGGACGAGTCCCTGCAGTTCTCTTGACAAGGTTTTTTTTCCCCCCACCAAGAAATAATGGGTTATCATTGCCTCCTTCCTAGGGCTGAGAGAACGTGACTGGCCCAGGATCAACCAGCTGGCTTCGTGCTTAAAGCAGGACTAGAACTCACTGCCTCCTGGTGATTGGCCCAAGTTCACCCAGCTGGCTTTCATGAGTAACTGGGACTAGAACCCACTGCTTCTGGCGGTTGGCTCAACGTGATCTAGTCAGCTTTGATGGCTAAGGCAGGACTAGAACTCACAGTCTCCTAGTGATTGGCTCAAAGTCACTCAACTGACTTTCAAGTCTAAGGTGAGACTAGAACTCACAGTCTCCTGGTGATTGGCTCAAAGTCACTCAACCGACTTTCTTCTCTAAGACTAGAACTCACAACCTTATGATGATTGGGCCAAAGTCTCCCACATGTTTTCATTCCTAAGGTGGAACTAGAACTCATAACCTTCTAGTGATTGGCCCAAAGTTACCTAACTGGCTTTCATGCCTAAGGTGAGACTAAAACTTATTGTCTCAAAGATGATTGGCTCAAAGTCACCCAGCCGGCTTTCATGGTGAAGGCGGGACTAGAACTCCCTGTCTCCTGGTGATTGGCTCAAAGTCACCCAGCCGGCTTCCATGGTGAAGGCGGGACTAGAACTCCCTGTCTCCTGGTGATTGGCTCAAAGTCACCCCGCTGGCTTTCATGGTGAAGGCGGGACTAGAACTCCCTGTCTCCTGGTGATTGGCTCAAAGTCACCCAGCCGGCTTTCATGGTGAAGGCGGGACTAGAACTCCCTGTCTCCTGGTGATTGGCTCAAAGTCACCCAGCCGGCTTCCATGGTGAAGGCGGGACTAGAACTCCCTGTCTCCTGGTGATTGGCTCAAAGTCATCCCGCCGGCTTTCATGGTGAAGGCGGGACTAGAACTCCCTGTCTCCTGGTGATTGGCTCAAAGTCACCCAGCCGGCTTCCATGGTGAGGGCAGGACTAGAACTCCCGGTCTCCTGGTGATTGGCTCAAAGCCACCCCGCCGGCTTTTATGTCTAAGGCAGGACTCGAACTCAGGCTATTCCACCGCTAATACTGACTGGAAATTGTTATGTGAACAGTTGGCCTCTTGGAGCTGTGAGTGCTCCATCGCTAGAGGTTTTCAAGAAAAGATTGGACAAGCAGTTGTCCAGGATGGTATAAGGTCTCCTGCTTCGGGCAAGGGGTTGGACTAGAAGACCTCCGAGGTCCCTCCAAGCCAGTGGTTCTCAACCTTTTTAATGCCACGACCCCCAACCAGTCGTAAGTCGAGGACTACTCAACCGGTCGTAAGTCAAGGACTACTCAACTGGTGCAGCCCCGTTTGCAGACTGGGACTTTTGGCGGGCTCAGCAGGGCAGAGACAGCCTGGACAATTCCTATTGGCTTTTAAAAGCCAATAGAATTAGACTCTATTCTAATAAAAGGGAGTAGCACAGCTAAGGAAAAGGGGGGAAAAAATGGCGGACTGCGTTGTTTGGCGACCCTCGTGAAGTGGTTGTTCGACCCCAAATGGGGTCTCGACCCACAGGTGGAGAACCACTGCTCCAAGCCCTGAGATTCTATGATTTTTCAAAGATGAACACGGCACAACCCCACTCGCATATTCCACTGCACTATAATTTTTTTTTTTTTTTTAAAAAAAGCTGACTATTCTGCTGCAGGGACTTAATTGGAAGTGAAGCCAAGATTTCCATCTCTATGCAAATGCCGGTGTTAAATAAAGATCAGGGGAGGGAGAGTTACTACAGGGAGCAGCTTCCAAAAAGTAGTCTGCTCTCGAGCATAGCTTTCCTCCTGAAGGCTTACTCCGACCGTAGAGTTGGCCATCAAGGCAGCCATGAGGAAAAGGAAAAGTCAGTTCTTGCAAGCAAGCAAGCAAGCAAGCAAGATTCAACAATTTTGCTTTGCCACACTAGTCAGTTTCAATCCTTAGGCATTTCAAATTTTCTCTCCGTTCCTCTGGAAAGGGGCTCAAACCCCCTGAAGCAGTTCCCCTCCACAGCTTTCCCGTTCAAAACACAGCCAGTCCTCGACTTATAAGAGTTCATTTAGTGACCGTTACAACGGCACTGAAAAAAAGGGACTTATGACCCTTTTTCACACTTAGACGGTGTGTCCAAATGAAGACAGAGACCTTGACGTGTAGTTTTTTTATATAAATAAATATATATTTTGGTCTTTGGTTATTTGGGTTTTCTCCCGTGTAAAATTGGAAGTGTCTTCGCAACATTTTGACGAACTCCCATTCGTCATCTTCAGGCTGGTGTTTTCAGCTTCGTGCTTCAAGGAGCAAGCACGAAGCTGAAAACACCAGCCTGAAGATGACGAATGGAACTTCGTCGAAACATTGCCAAGACACTTCCAATTTTACGCGGGAGAAAACCCGAATAATCAAAGACCTACATACAAACACCCGCGAAAACCTCAGAAAACAAATATATATTTTACATCTACGTTTATAGCAAGCAAAATATTCAGGCCCACAGGAGCATCGTGAGGTAAAATTCACACAGGAACATCATCGTGAGGTAAATCACAGAGCAGACACGAAGAAAAAGGCGGGAAATGAGGAAACGCCCCCTTTGACCCACAGCAGCCAATCACAGAAGAGATTGCCTCAGGCAGGAGCCACCTCTCTCTCTCTCTCTCCAACCAATCAGGTACAACTGTGCGTTCTGACTCATTGTACAGGTTGCCCTCGACTTACGACCACAAATTGAGGCCCAAATTTATGTTGTTAAGCGAGATAGGTGTGAAGTGAATTTTGCCCCGTTTTTACGATCTCTCTTGCCTCAGTTGTTAAGTGAATCACCGCAGGTGATACATTAATAAACCATTTGTTAAGGAAATCTGGCTTCCCCACTGACTTGTCTTGTCAGAAGGCCGCCAAAGTTGATCAGGTGACCCTGGGACCCTGCAACACTGTCATTAATATAAACCAGTTGTCAAGCCTCTGAATTTTGACCACATGGAAAGGTGGTAATTGTGAAAAATGGTCAGGAGTCGCTTTTTTCAGCACCGTTATAACTTTGAATGGTCACTAAATGAACTGTGGTGATTCAAGGACTACCTGTACAGCTCCACTGTTCCAGCTACTACATTTAAATATCTTAACATTTTTTGATAGCAATTACCTCAGCGCAGGGGTCTTCAAACTTGGCCCTTTCATGACTTGTGGACTTCAACTGCCAGAATTCCTCAGCCAGGCACGCTGGCTGAGGAATTCTGGCAGTTGAAGTCCACAAGTCCTAAAAGGGCCAAGTTTCAAGACCCCTGATTTAGACTTTAAGAGAAGTGGACTTCAACTCCCAGAATTCCTCAGCCAGCGTGCCTGGCTGAGGAATTCTGGGAGTTGAAGTCCACAAGTCCTAAAAGAGCCAAGTTTGAAGACCCCTGATATAGACTTTAAGAGGAGTGTACTTCAACTCCCAGAATTCCTCAGCCAGCGTGCCTGGCTGAGGAATTCTGGGAGTTGAAGTCCACAAGTCATCAAAGGGCCAAGTTTGAAGACCCCTGCCTTAGAGGTTCGAACTTCTCCAACAATACAATGGAGGGTAAAATAATTGGACCCGACAATTACCAACATGGCCCCCGTTTGTAGAATCAACCTATGGAGTCCAGGAACTCAAAAATTAGGACTTACTGTTGCTTGCGGGTCAACTCCTGCTCCTTCAGGACAAGATCTTGCTTGAGGGACGCCAACATCTCCACGCTGACATCCACCTGGCGGGAGAGCTCTACCGCCCGGTCCTCAAGTTCTTGTTTCTCGCGGCTGAGTTTGAGGCTCTCTTGCTTGGCTTTCTCCAGCTCGGTGGTCTTGCGGTCTAATTCCACCTGGAGCCGGCCCACTTGGGAGGCGATCTTCTGCTCCACTTCTTCCGTGAACTTCTCCAAGCGTTTGTCTACTTCCAGCTTCTCAAAAGCCCGGATCTTCAAACGGGTTAAACCTTCTTCGTAAGCTGCGTCCACCGCGGCTACTGTCGCTGCTGCTGCGGCGGCGGTCGCCGGAGGCGCGGCGGAGGAAGTCATGGCTTTGCGGGTGAAGAGGTCCGTCAGAGGGATCTCGATCTGGTGGAAGTAGCGGGACGACACGGGAGAAGAGGAGGACTCCAGCTCTTCGGCCGTGAGGAGGTCGCAAGTGATGTGCTGCTCTTTGCCCTGAAAGGAGGTGCTTTCGAAGATGTCCCGGCGGGGGGCTGGGCTCAAGAGGCTGGCGTCGCTCGCCAGGGGGAAGATGGTGGCATCGCAGATGCTGTTTGTCTTAGACAAGATGTAGAGAGTTTCATACGTGTGGTTGTACTCCAGGTGAGCCCGTAGAGAAGACAGGCTCTGGAAACGCTTGTGTTCCCCACAACGCGGACAGCGGTAAGGCAGGTCCAGAGAGGCCATTCTTCAACCCCAGCCACACAGCCTCTCGCGCAGCCCTCCTCCGCCGGGAACCCGCTGCCCAAACTCTGTCATGGTGTAGATCGATTGGCCAACCGAGAAGCAGGACTTGGGTAGCAAGGTGGATAGAAGTGTGGTGGGACAGAAGACCGGTCCCACCGAGTCATTGCTGGCTACGGGGTAGGAGAGGAAGGCCTGGAGGTGGCGGACCTTGGCAGCCAAGGCAGAGAGACAGCTGGGTTGGCATCAGGCACAGCTGATAATCCTGCAAAGAAAAAAAAAAGGGGGGGGGTCAGCATGTTCTCTTTTCTCCTTTCCTGCTGTGTCCCTTGAGATACGTCTTCCCCATCAGGGGTCTCCTGCACGTTTAGGAAAGATGCTAAGCAGCAGCCCCAAACAGCAGAATAATGGAGACCTCAGAGGTCTTCCAGTCTAACCCCCTGCTCAGGTAGGTAGGCATTTCAGACAAATAACTGTCTAATCTCTTCTTGAAAATCTCCAGTTTTGCAGCACCCACAACTTCTGGAGGCAAGCTGTTCCCCTGGTTAATTGTCCTCACTGTCAGGAAATTTCTCCTTAGTTCTAGGTTGCTTTTCTCCTTGATGAGTTTCCATCCTTGTCCTGCCCTCTGGTGCTTTGGAGAATAGCTTGACTCCCTCTTCTTTGGGGCAGCCCCTCAGATACTGGAATACTGCTACTAGTCCTTCTCTTCACTAGACTAGACAATACCCAATTCCAGCATTCTTCATATATTTTAACCTCCATCCCCCTGATCATCTCTCTTTTTTGCTTGTTTCTCGTCGTTTTTTTTATGGCCTTGCCTTTCATCTTTTAAACAGTTTAAAAACCACCCTGAGCTGCAAGGAGTCTGGCAGCAGATAAATTTAAATAAGGACAATAGTAATAATAGCTTGATCTATCGGTGTTTATTTACTTTGCTGTCTGGCATTAAAAACTATATTTGTCCCATCTCTTCTTTTTTTCGCACAAAAGGGATTGGTGAGTTGACTTTCCAATGTATCATTCAAGGGTGTTCAAATATACAGTTTTGATCGTCAGAGAAGGAGGGGGGGGGAACCAACAACTCAAGATTAATGGATTAAATAAAAGTAATTCAATAGTAGAATCAACCATCCACTTATATTCTGACCTCCACTTCACTGTTAAGTGTTCAGATGGAAGCTAAACAAGCATTTGTTGGTGATGTTTCCATCTGGATTTTGCATGGCTGGCTAGGGATTCTGGGAATTGAAGTTCCCTATATCTTTAACTTGGCAACAATGCTGTATATCTGTTTTCTTTTTACAGGCAGTCCTTGACTTATGGCCACAGTTGTGCCCAAAATTTCTGTTGCTAAGTGAGACCATTGTGAATTTTGCCCCATTTGCAGTGTTAAGTAAATGCCTGCAATTGTGAAGTTAGTAATATGTTTTTAAGTGAATCTAGTTTTGCCATTGACTTTGCCAATAAGGTCACAAAGAGCAATCACATGACCCCGGGACGGTGGAACGGTCATAAAAATGAGTCAGTTGCCAAGCGTCTGAATTTTGATCATGCAACGTTGCAAGTCACCTTGTTGACTTGAAAAATGATAAATGATCGTAAGTCACTTTTTTCAGTGCCATTGTAACTCTGAACAGTCACAAAATGAACCGTTTTAAGTCAAGGACTACCTGTGCTTCGAAATTCTTCCCTCTTTGCTCACATTTGCAGGATGCTGGAGAAGATCCAAAGGGAAAGTCAGATAGTCCTTGACTTACAATCATTTGTTTAGTGACCATTCAAAGTTACAAGGACACTGGGGAAAAGCGACGTAAGACCGTTTTTCACACTTACGACCGTTGCAGCATCCCCACGGTCATGTGATCAAAATTCAGATGCTTGCAAACCGATTCATATTTAGGACAGCCGCAGTGACATCGCATCACAGTGTCACCTTCTCTGATCTTCTGACAAGCAAAGTCAATGGGGAAGCCAGATACATTTAACTGCAGTGATTCACTCACTTAACGACTAGTGCAAGAAAGGTCGTAAAATGAGACAAAACTCACTTAAGAATTGTTTTTCCGTTAGCAATAGAAATTTCGGGCTCAAGTCGTAAGTCAAGGACCACCTGTGATAGAGACCAGAGGGAGTGGATTATGAGAACCAGCCTGGGAAATTTCAGCACCTTGGACAGCAGACGAGATTTGCAGAAACCCGATGCCTCTATTATTCTATGGGATCTCATACCTACATACCCATCATGCTCTTCCATTTTGGGACCTGTGGTACCACGAAAAGCACAGGAAAGGGGTAAGAAATAGTAAGAGAAAAGAAATACAAGCCAGGGACCTCGTCAACTTTATCCAAAAATAAGTTGTCATGTGTGATTCTACATACCACCCAAGAGGGACAATAAAAAAAACTCAAAAGGAAATAAAAATTCCAAAATAGCTCCTCATGCGCAACTAACACCCAGATGAGCAGAGGTTAACACTAGACCAACAGTCAAGAAGGAAGGAAGGAAGGAAGGAAGGAAGGAAGGAAGGAAGGAAGGAAGGAAGGTGGGTATAGAATTTAGGATGGATGGATGGAGGGAGGGAGGGAGGGAGGGAGGAAGGAAGGAAAGAAGGAGGGAAGGAAGGCCTAGAATTTAGAATGGATGGATGATGGAAGGGATGGAGGGAGGGAGGGAGGACAGAAGGAAAGAAGGAAAAAAGGAAAGAAGGAAGGCCTAGAATTTAGAATGGATGGATGGAGGGAGGACAGAAGGAAGGAAAAAAGGAAGGAAGGAAGGAAGGAAGGAGGGAGGGAAGGAAGGAAGGAAGGAAGGAAGGAAGGAAGGAAGGAGGGAAGGAAGGAAGGTGGGTATAGAATTTAGGATGGATGGATGGAGGGAGGGAGGGAGGGAGGAAGGAAGGAAGGAAGGAAAGAAGGAAAGCCTAGAATTTAGAATGGATGGATGGAGGGAGGATAGAAGGAAGGAAGGAAAAAAGGAAGGAAGGAAGGAAGGAAGGAAGGAAGGAAGGAAGGAGGAGTGGGAGGGAGGAAGAAAGGAGGGAGAGAGGGAGAGAAAAGGAAGGAAGGATGGAAAGAAAAAGAGGCAGGCAAGAAGGAAGGAAGGAAGGAAGGAAGGACCTAGAATTTAGAATAGATGGATGGAGGGAGAACAGAAGGAAGAAAGGAAGGAAGGAAGGAAGGAAGGAAGGAAGGAAGGAAGGAAGGAAGGCCTAGAATTTAGAATGGATGGATGGTGGAAGGGATGGATGGAGGGAGGGAAGACAGAAGGAAGGAAGGAAAGAAGGAAGGAAGGCTAGAATTTAGAATAAATAGATGGATCGATGGAGGGATGGAAGCCTAGAATTTAGAATGGATGGATGGTGGAAGGGATGGAGGAAGGAAGGAAGGAAAAGACAGAAAAAGAAAGATGTTTCAGTTTAGTATATTAATTCCCCCCCCACCGAAACTCTCTATTGTAACATTTCAATGCTGACTATTCAAGTATGCAAACCTTCTCGGCATATGGGTGAAATGATGGGTTTTAATCCCCACATTTTTAGATTTCATTACAGCCATTCATATTTCACAAGCTTCGTCCAGAAAGCCACCATTGAACACACACACACACTTCTGTGCTCGCCGTCCTGAACCATTTCGCAAAGTCCCTCATCGATTCGCTCTATAGATTCTTATCGCATTTATGCATCTTTATATTCACTAGGGGAACACTCCTTTTGAGTCCCTGCTTCCCTCTCCTGTTGTTAAATCACTTGTAAATTGCAATCAAGATGCTCCTTTGGTTTCATGGCTGCTGCGTTGATTCGGAGGCCTTTCAGGATAAAATTTCGCCCTATGCAGAAAATTCCATCCAAAAACCGTGAAAGACATTTGGGAGAAAAGACCTACTTCGGGGGAATGACACAAAAATACCATCTAAACTAAGCATGTCCAACCTTGGTCACTTTAAGCCATGGCTGGCTGGGGAATTCTGGGAGTTGAAGTCCACAAGTCTTAAAGTGGCCTGATTTGTAAACGGCGGTTGTATCTTCCAAAGCGCTTTCAATCTGCAACAGCCTCCTTGGAGAAATGATGTAGGGTTTCCTGCCTGAGCAGGGGGTTGGACTAGATGACCTCCAAGGTCCCTTCCAACTTTACTACTATTACTATTACTAAATAATTGTGGTTTTTCCTCCTGAGGACTAGAATTTTCATTGATGCTTGTTTTTCGTTCTTGAATTTACTACTAGCTTCCTTCCAGAAAAGCCACACAAAAAAGCACCCCGGTATCTTTCAACGGTTCGTTTAGTGGCCATTCAAAGTTACGATGGCACTAAAAATGTGACTTAGGACTGTTGGTCAAACCTACGACCGTTGCAACATCCCTTGCAGTCCAAATTCAAATGCTGGGCAACTGGTTGGTATTTATGACAGTTGCAGCTTCCTTGTTGCTAACTGAGCCACTGTGTTGATTCGCTTAGCAACGGTGGCGAGAAAGGTCGTAAAATGGGGCAAATTCACTTAACCATTGTCTGGCTTAGTAGCAGAAATTTTGAGCTCCATTGCAGTCGTTAGTGCTGCCTTACCCAGTGGGTTTTCTCTGGTTATCTCCGACCCGTGGAAATTTCATTTTCATTTTCAGAAAATGTTCCTTTTTTAGCAAGGAAGAATGGCGGGGCCAGCTGCCATATTTTGCTAGACAAATGTCAATTTCACCCCAAGCTCCAATGACATTCCCTTCTCCGCTCTCCAGACTGGAATCAATTGTTTGCATCGAATTCTCCAAAGGCTGCAGGCCAACAGTCAATCTAAGGTTGGCCAGCTGAGTTACTCCTCTGACACGCAACTACGCAACCCTCTCCTTGCTGTGAAGTCGACAACAGCCCGTGAACCCTCAGCTCTTTTTTTAAAATAAGATTTTATTGACCTTTTCCATGCATGCAATAATAATTTTTCAACCAACGTGCTGTCTGAGTTTAAATACACTAGTACATATTTCATTCCTAATCCTTTATTCTGTCCTCTAACCATCGGTAAAATAAGTCCCAAGTTTGATAATATTCTGTTTCTTCTTTTTCTTTCAGTCTCATAGTCAGTCTGTCCATCTCTGCGCATTCTAGTATTTTTTTTTAATTATTTCTTCATCTGATGGTATTTCTTCATTTTTCCAATATTGTGCAAATATTATTCTTGCCACTGTTGTGATGTGTAAAATCAAATATAGGCTTTGTTTGTTAATCTTTTCTGGCATGATACCCAATAAAAAAAAGTTCGGGTTTAAAATCT